CCAGAAACCACCTCAAGTAAGATGTATGGGATGCCTAATGAGCATAAGACATACAAAATGCTCAGTGTAAGGCTCAGAGCACCTTTATTGTTATTACGTTGGTCTTACAGGCATTTTGAGCTAATTTGAGAATAATTAAAGATGAAAGGAGAAAAATCTCAGAGATTATTAAAATTTCAAAAGAACAGTGGCTTTCTTAACTCCCTTGCTTCTTCATGGGAGAAAAATATTTGCTTTCACATGGTGGGTTTTAGGTGCCATGGAAACAAGATTTGAAAAGACTTCAAGTAAATAGAAAGCAACCAGCTGAGCCTGAGTCTTTCTTTAAAATATAGCCACAAAATTTTGATCAGACCAACATTTCTGTGTGATTTGGTGGCTGCAGAAATGGCTCTGGATGCTTTTGCAGAGGACCTGGGTTTGGTTCTTGGCACCCACACAGCAGCTCACAGCTATTTGTAACTCCAGTTCTAGAGGATCAGATTCCTTCTCCTGGTCCCCACAGGCAATACATGCAGATGGTGCCCATATATACATGCAGGCAAAACACTCATATACACAAAATCAAAATAAGTAAACATTTCAATGTCATTTTGAAGGGCATCTAGGAATATATTACTATATTATCAGATCAAGAATTTCTGAATATTGAATAGTTATACTATGTAACACAGTCTGCCTTTTCTTCAGTTTCTTAGGTGTATGAAAGAAATGTAAATTGGTTTAAATGATGAAAAGGCAAACAGAAAATACAGCAAGGGTCTTTAGGAGTAAGTGAAAGAATTTTAAGAGTTCTTTTCTTAGAAATGTTTATTAATTTTTCAAAATGAAAGTATCTTTGCTAGAGACTTTGTTGAATGCAATTAATTATTTTTACTTACCAGGAAATATGATTGGTACTAAATATGTTTGCACATGTTTTTCTAAGGAAGAAATATCTATAAAAATCAATGTGTTTGCTATGACTTTAGTCTGTTATGCCATTAAAGAACAAGTGTTTTTTTTAAGATACTAAGAGCATTTCTCTGCTTTTCAATGTATTTCAAGACAATATATTCTAATATTTCTTGCTGTAAAAAACCACCATGGTCCCCTCAAAATAATAAGATCAGATTGTTAAAGTACAGGGCTGAGAACACAAGTTGCAGATGAATCTAGTTTTAGGGAAACCCACAAGCAAATAAAGAAAACCCATAAAGAATTCTATTCCCATTTCATTCTCAGAACTTTTGGTCTTGGAGGATGGCAAAGAACTCTAATACAAGAGACCAAGACATTTCTACAGTTTGTCCAGATTGAAGATTTATGACAACTGAAAAGAAATGCAATAAAGTGGTGTGGGCTTGTTAGAGGGTTTCATTATTTATGATGAAAATAATATATTCACAGGACTGAAAAAATTCAAACAATAGAAGTCTCACCTCATCACCCTAGATTCGTATCTGTCAGATACTTGGTGTGCATTTATAGAGAATATTTCACTTTATATATAAAAATGTGTACCCTCTTTACACAGTGGTAACACACAATGGGAATGCTGTGTTCAGAGTTTTGGATTTTGTGTTCCATTTTATCAGAGAGAAACTTGCACAGCTTCACAAGTGGAAAAATTTCACTATTTAAACAAAACAATTTAGTAATTCATCCTAAGAATGAACATAATCAAGAGGGCACAGTGGGCAACTTGCAAATGGCAAATCTTTGTGATACACAGAATTTTACTTGTAGGAAGTCCCTAGACTCATTTACTTACAGGAAGGGTATATATGTATTTCAATATTGGTGCTATTTTCAAACTGGGATTTCAATTTGTGCCCCAGTTAAAAAGGTCTTTAATCCATGTTTTGAACTAGATAACATCTCCTTAGATGCTTACTTATAATTAGCATATTTTCCTATAATTTCATGATCAAACACCGGTTGGTTTTCTTTTGGGTGCTGGTGCATTTTCTGAAATATAATTTAAAAGATATTTACATAGTAACTAAGTTATCTCTTTGACTCATATTCATCAATGTTGCCATAAGTTTTTAAAAATATTCTCCTTGGCTCTGTTTGTGGTATTTTTTAATTCAATTTCATAATGGTTTCCTTTAAGGCTTTTTGATTTTGTGTTTTAATTTAAAGGCTTAGTGAAACCCAGCAACCAACCAACAAATGGCCAAAATGATGACAGTGATGGTGATGATGGCGATGATGATGTTGGTGGTGGTGGTAATGTCAAGCTCTAAAATCTAAAAACTTACTCTAAATAATGAAATAGAATACATGTTTGTGTATCTTTTTCTTTGCCTTCCAACTTCCAACCTTGTTATTCCAATGCCTGTATCATCAACTAATTTTAGTTGGTTAAAAGTGTTATTATCACAATCTGACAGTCTTTAGGTACTTCAGTATTTTATCTAACCAAGTTAGAACTGTTAATCTGTGTTTTTTCTTCTGTGATGGTCAAGCCCCTTTTATTATCCCACGTCTTTTATTTTATGTTTATAAAGATTCTTTGTTGTACTTCTATTTCAGATTTTACCCAGCTCTTCTCAGAAGTTATTCTATATAAAACTGTGGTAATCTTCAGAATCACTTATGGCCGGGCGGTGGTGGCACACGCCTTTAATCCCAGCACTCGGGAGGCAGAGCCAGGCGGATCTCTGTGAGTTCGAGGCCAGCCTGGACTACCAAGTGAGTTCCAGGAAAGGCGCAAAGCTACACAGAGAAACCCTGTCTCGAAAAACCAAAAAAAAAAAAAAAAAAAAAAAAAACAGAATCACTTATGAATGGTAGGTACCTCAAAAAATTTCTCCTTTTATTTAAGAACAATATATACAAGTGTGTGTTCTGTTCACACATATTTTGCTTAAATAACTGAGTAGAATTTGAAAATTTTCTTTGTAAAGCTGGATGTGTATCTGAGTGGTAGAGCCCATGCTCAGCAGGCATGAGGTATTGGGTCTATCTCCAGTATCACAAAAACAAACAAACAAACAAAAAACAAAAAAAAAACTTTCAAATTTCTTAACTTTATAACTATATAATTTTTTTACATTGATATTCTAAGTGACATGCCTTATTACATTTAAATTTGAATTTTTTATCTATACATAGAAAAATTAATGAATTATACTGTTTTAACCAGCTAATTTTCTGAATTCTCTTAATTTGTAATTTTTCTTTGAAATTGTCTGTTTTCCATGTATACAAAATTATGCCATATGTTGTAAATGAAAATTTCCATTTTCTTTATAGCTTTCATGCAGCTTAATGACTTCTGTTATCTAAAACACTCGTTAATAGGTTGGAGTGATTCACTCAGTACTAGGGACTGTAGATACCTTCCTCTTATATGTGTCTAGCATGGCAACATAAAAGCCAACAAAATTATATTGCATTTGATTCTCTCTCTGATCTCAGGTACTGGAACTAACAAATCATTCCTTAATCCTCATGCATGTATCTCAAATTTGAATGAAAAGGTGTAATCTTTTTTAGTTTGTAGTTACTTAAAAGGTGATTATTGATACACATAAAATTAGTTTTGTGTGTAGAACTTAGAAAGTCAATATTTATAGAAATCTGTGTGTGTGTGTGTGTGTGTGTGTGTGTGTGTGTGTGTGTGTGTGCATGTGCGTGTTACTAGCATAGTGAGAATTTATCAGGAGTGCTGAATACCTGAAGTTTTATTTTTATTTATAATCTTCCTCTTTAATTACTAAAGACATGCCTAAATACATGGTGATTCTCATTTTTGCATTTGTGATACCTTGCATTCATCATTAAAAACCTTTGTATTTGAAATCTTTACAAATAAATGAGCTGAAATCAATAAAATTCAATTCACTTGAGATTTTTTTCAACATCTGGTAGAGTTATTTTCTCAGTAATTAGATGAAGAGGTGAGGCATTTTCCTGATGTAAGCTTGCCCGTGATTGGGATATCAGTAGTTTCTGGAGTCAGCAACTTACAGTCAGTGAGCATACTAATTAATAAATGACCAACAAATATATAGAGCTGCTGCTTGCTTTCCTAATACCACTTATACTCTGTAAATGTATGTTCCACATGTTCCTTAGAATAGCCTCTTCTCAGTCTGCTCAATAACCTTGTCTACATCATTAATTTCCATCTCTTCAGATGATATTATTGCTGGGGATGTTGAGGGGAGTAACCTGTCATATGCTGGTCTGTACTTGTTTCAGATTAGCCAACACTTAGGCACAAACATGAATTATTTGCAGTTTGAAAACCTGAATCTGTTCTGTATAGAGAGATATCTGTGAAAGATAAGATATAAAAGTGTCTTCCATTTCTGTCATTTTATTACCTTTTAGCTTGGAAATATTGGTTAATGAAGTCTTAACATCTACAATATATAACTTAAGATCATAAGATCACAGATTTAGATGGGAATGTTTAAAGTGCTATTCTCCCTACTGGAGATGAAAAACACTTAAGCCACAGAAGAAAGGTATCTATCTTTCTAATTTAAGAGAAATGTAAGGGAATACATAACTATTTTCATTAGTAAGAGTGAAATAAAACATTCACATTATGAAAGTTTCATTGATAGCTAATTTTCAAAGAATAAATTAAAATGTTATATGAAATAATATAAGATATGTACATGGATCAACATTGAGCAGTGATATCAACAAGCACAATGTGTTCCCTTTACACACTACTCCTGGTTTTCAGGATATTTATCTTTTGACTACCATACAAGTGAAATTCAAAGACATTATTTGCTAGGACCTTTAACATTAATTCACTCTATTGGTTCCACATTATGTATCTTATTGAATAGGCATGTAGTCCAACAACAATAAAGCATTTATTCTTCATGGCTTGCTTTGCATTGTATAGAATAAGGTCATTAATTCTTAAAACTAATTCAAAGCTTTTTGCCAAAGGATAATAACTGCGTTTTCAGCTTTGCTACCTGAAGTAGTGTTATGACTACAGCACAGTGGAGTAAGTGAACCCTGAATCACAATCCCAGACTCACCAGAAGTTTCGTCTACTCTCTCGTCTACTACATGGTCCTTCTGATGAACCCATTCGCTGTTGCACTTGAAGTAGATCTGGGTGGCAGGGCTTGCTTTACAATACAGGTTCACAGGCTTGTTCTTCACGATGTAAGCTTCTTCAGGCTCAATGAGGAAGTGTGGCAATGGCTCAGGTGGATCAGATGGAAAGGTTTCTGGGAGTTCATGAAAAAAGTCATCATCTGGTAAAGAAATAGAAAGTGGAAATTGTCAAAATATAGCAACTTGTCTTTTAGTTGCTATTTTATTTTTTAGAAAATGGCTTATATAAGAGTGAAGTTTTTGAATGCTTGCTATGTGCAAAATAGTATTTAGAAATATTGAATGGTTGCTCAGTAAATAATTTGGATTGTTATTCTATTTTCTACATATGACAAAACTCAACCATAGTAAGAATAAGTCATCCTGAAAACATAGGGAGTAGGTAGCAAACTGGGAAATGAAGCTCAGGGTCTTGTCACCTACAGAAACTGTGATATTCACGATGTATTATGTACTTCCCAGTGTACAGGGTAACTATTAAGAACTGAAACAAGGGACTGAGAGATGGATCAGTGGCTAAAAGCATTTGTTGCTGTTCCAGAGCACCTGGATTCAGTTCTCAGCATCCATATGGTGACTAATAACCATCTGTAAGTACAGTTCCCAAGAATCTGAAGATCTCTTCTGGCCTCTGATGGGCACTCCACACACGTGGTGCACAGACACACAAGCAAGCACAGTGCCACTCAAAAATATATAAATACTGAAACAAACAGAAACAACTTCCACTAGAGGCATAAGGCTTGTGGCAAATTTTAAATCCTTTGCAAAGGTGTGAGCAAAATTACTAAAAGTGTGAATTAAAGTTCTCTAATTTCAGATTCAAATTGATCATTAGTTTCAAAAGATACATTTGACTTATTCAGATGAAAATATTCACTGGGACCAAAATTGTCTAAGCACTGGAAATGTGAATGAGCATCAAGCTGGTTACTGGTGTAGCCGTGGTAGAAACGTTATCTGGTCTAATTTTAAAATTTTACTTCAGATGTTACAAGGTATTATGTGACTTATAGAAAAATTCTTAACCTCCTCATAAATAAGACTCATTTTTATAGCTTTGAAAATTGTTAAATGTGTTACTCCCACTCTGATCTTTCAATATCACTGAATAAATCTCATCTAAAACCACTGGAGATATTTGTACACTTTGAAGTCTTTTTCCATTTCTTAACTTGGATTCCACATGATTCCAAGTTTTAAAAAGTCAAATATGTTTGTTTTAATAAAGCTTAGTAACATTTTATAAAAAGATAAGAGTCTTTCCATTATGTTAAATGTTATGCCTGATAATTATCTTCCTATGAGGGACAGAAAAGAACAAACTATCATTAGTCCACAAATATGCTAATATTGCATGTTAAAATTCTTGGGTCAAAGGTAAAAATGCACTTTACAACTTCTCTGGAGTACTCTTGTGCAGTAATACACAGATGATATGATGTTGGTATTTAGAGACTGGCTGCTCAGACATTACCTTGAAACTCATTATATTATGCATTCAGTTGCTATCCCATTTTTGGGAGTTAGCCATTGGTGAAGTGGACATCTGTCCACTAAGAAATCTGGCCTGCGACTTTTTTCATCTAGGTCATGGGATAGCTTTCAAATAGTAATGATACCTAGTCGTTGCCAATCTGTTTTGCGGTAAAAATTGGCTTTACTTGAACCACAGGAAAAACCAGTTTTTGAAACTGCTTTACCATAGTCATTTCCTGACATTGTGGTAAGATGTCTGCTGTAGCTAAGTGTTCTTTCTTAATTCACCTCCTTGATATACTTTATTCTGGCAAGGCATCATTTCTAGTTTTTCCACTGTTGACAAACAAGGACAGAAACTGTCAGCTTTCTAAAGAATAACCTTGCTTATATCAATTTCAGCTCTACTAGTCAATATGCAAGACCACTCGAGACTGATCAAATAAAGGGAGCCAGAAAAGCAAAGGGCCGAGGAACTGAACTATTGACAGATCCGTCTGCACAAATCTGATGCCTTGAATGCCTTACCCAATCTTTCTGTCATCTTCCAGAGCACTTCATTTTATATATGAGGATGGGCTAGGCTGATAATCAATACAGCTATACAAAATGCCACACTCAAATTCTCCTGAAGCATAGCTCTTGTTTCATTATTATTCATGAATGCAAACAAAACAGTAACGCTAGTTTATTTCACTTTCCTCTTGGATTGTGTTTGCACACACATAAACATGGGAGTGTAGTTAAAACTACACATTTACTCAAGTATGTAAAAGATAAAATGTGTTTCAGCTGGTGTTTTAAGTGAAGCTAGTTCCTTTAAAAGAACTGATTATAAAGTACTAGCTAATAATACACATAAATTTTATTTGGTAATGGAACACAAGTATTTGTACGTTCCCATCTGATAGAAAAAATTCATAAAGACACTAAAAATCTGTTATATCACCTAGGCAAAAAACATGCACCCCTTTTAGTATTATTGTTTTATTGCAACTATTGAGAAGATGGATAATAATGGAAGATCAGAAAAATCACACACATATTTTCAAGCTAAAAAAAAAAAAAAGCTCAGTAAAATGCCAGGAAGAAAAGTGACGATTTAGTAAATATCTAGAACACATATGAGCATACTAATTGGGCATTTCCTTAATTTTGAGTTTTACCATAATATGAACATTACTAGTGAAAGAAATTAGCCCATGTCTTGGCATAGTATTGATTTGTCAAGTTGCTTGTTAACACTTAAAATGAAATATAATAAGAAAACATTTCTATCATTAGAAATAATGTTTTCTTCATTTGATGAAACTTGTGTTTCTATTATATATAATAATCATTTCCACAAAATTCATCTCTTAGCATTCCTCTGGAGAGTTGACTTAGCAAACAATAGTTTATTAACTTATTATTTCTTATGGTGTCCATATTGTAAATTCCAATTCATAGCCTAGATGAAATCACATTAAACATTTTGTCTTACTTCTAATATTCAGTGAAAATGTAGAGATGATAATTGGCTAAGAAAATCCAAGAACTTGCTTTAGTAGATATGTGTACTGGGATAAATATGACAAAAGAAACAGGCTGATTCTTATACTTCTAGGTTTTATACCAACCAGTTTAATGCAGCTATTAATAGTCTTGAAATGACTAAAACACAACTGATCTTTAATACTATAATAGAAATAACTTGAAGATGAAGATTATATTGTTTTCCTTTTCATGTTTTGAAAGATTTCAAAATTTTATGTATATATGTGTGCCAGCAGGCGTTTATGTGCGCACCTATGGTAGCCAGAGGGTACCATATTCTTGGAAACTGGAGTAACAGGTGGTTGTGAGATGCCTAATGTGGGTTCTGGGAACATACATAGGACTTGATGTATAATTTGCATTTTCTACTACAGAACAAAAATTCAAAGATCCTACTTAAAATGTATGAAGATTTCTGAGAGAATGCAGAAAAACATCAAATGAGGCCCTGGTCCCGGGAGACAACACAGGTCACATTTCCTAAGAATTCAATCTTCTCCAGTATTGCTAGTAGTCTAAACTGGGGTCATCTTTGTGAATTCCTGGGAACTTCTCTAGCAACCAGTTTCAGTAGTTAGATCGGTGAATACCCTAGCTGTCATCATAGAGCCTTTCTCCAGTAACTGATGGAAGCAGATGCAGAGATCCACAGCCAAATACCAGGCCAAGCTCCAGGAATACAGTTGAAGAGAGAGAAGAGAGATTCTATGAGCAAGGGGTATCAAGATCATGATGGGGAAACCTACAGAGAGAACCAAACCAAACTAGTTGGAACTCATGAAATTTAGACCAACATCTGCAGAGCCTCTATGGGACTTGACTAGGCCCTCTGCATACGTGAGACAGTTGTGTAGCTTGATCTGCTTAAGGGAGCCCCTAGCAGTAAGATCAGGATCCATCCCTGGTGCATATGCTGGCTTTTTGGAGGCCACTACCTATGGTGGGACACCTTGTAGAGCCCCGAGGCAAGGGGAGGGGCTTGGACCTGCCTCTACTGAATGTATCAGGCTCTGCTGACTCTCCATGCGAGGCCTCACTACCGTCATGTAGGAGGGAATGGGGGGGAGTTCGGGGGGGGGGGGAGTCTGGAGGGGTGGGAGGAGGGGAGAGGGGGATATCTGCTTGGCATGTAAAATGAATAAAAATTTTCTTAGTAAAGAAAAAGAATCCAATCCTACATACAGATGAAATAAACTGGGCATTCTGCTCCCCAGCATCTGAACAGACAAGGCACTTTCATGCTGAAACTATTGGAGATTTCACATATTTTTAAGGTATATGGGGTATTTTCTAGAAGACATGGAAATTTAGACTGGGAAACCTAGGGTCTAGTCAGTTCCTTGCAGTTGAAGATGTGTGGCAATCTATGCACAGATTCCCCTTGAGATCTCTACCTGTTTCCTTGGTAAGAGCACCCATGCCACGCAGAGGCCAATCCTTCAGGAACAATAGGCCAGCTCTGCTCTGCACTGGTAGGCTACTTACTGAGACCACTTCTTAGTGCCCTTTGGATTTTACTATAAAAACAACCAGCTTTCACATACTATTAAGGTCTGATCACAAAACCTGAAGCTACGAAAGAAAAACCCTGAGTTTTCACCCTACAGAGAGATCAGTAATTACATCCCCTCACCACTTCATAGCTAAAGATCTGGAGGTAGTATCAGGGTACAATAGGAATCCAGTTTATAAACACAGCTTTAGACTTGAACTTATCTTGGGCAACATGCTTAAATTAGTCTAAGTTATTACTTTTGAGGAAATGTATACTTCAACTTGAAATTAAATGCACTAATTTGGGCAAAATGACTTGAATAATCAAATTGTTAAATAAGGTTTTATGGGTAGATTATTAATATTAACAAAGTAAAATTCTTATGGTGATTTTTCTTCTATGTGGTAAATTCAGCTTCAACCTAAAGCTAGACATGCCTTTTTCTGTGGATACAACATTATATTCATTTTTTTTCTAACATTTGACTTAATTTTCCACTTTCTACCATTACTCAATAATAGTATTCTAACAGCAGTGCCATTTTTATCTGGGTATTAGTAAATCTTAGCATTTCTGCTTCTATTATTTCACACAGGCTTTGGCTTTTTCATTTATATACAAGAGGAGAAA